AGAAATAATCTAGACTATATAAATTTACTCGGGTGGTCTGCTGTAAGGGTCTCCAACCGTGGCCGCTTGAAGGCGTGTGGACTTCAATTTCCCACACTGGCTGAAGTTCACAAGTCTTAAAAGTTGCCGAAGTTGGAGATCCCTGGACATCCAGCATCGTCCAGATGTTAGGTCTCCATCGGCCACTGACTCCTGCCTGGTGCTTTTTTGATCAGGGTCTTAGCCCACCTTCCCTTACCAGATTTCTGTGGAGAAAAGTACATGTATATGATCGTTTGTTCAACGATGTTTCAAAGTTTCTCACAATCTGTGCTCACACCTACGACCGTAACACCACCCCTGCAGTCCCATGACCATCATTTGGGCGCTAGGCCACCGGTTTGCATTTACACAACCCATTCCAGCTTCCTCCTGTCACAGGATGAATTGGTTGCTGTCCCTGGAATTCACGTGACCGTGTTTTTAAAACTTCCCTGTAGATGTCATGGATGTGGCGTGGTCCCCTCACGACGCTTGGCTAGCCTCCTGCAGCGTGGACAACACGGTTGTGATCTGGAATGCTCTCAAATTCCCTGGTAAGGACACTTGGAAACGACTTTTGGACTTTGTGCTTGAGGTGGTGGGGGGGACTCTGATTTTGGGTTTGGGGTTATAGAAACGGCTACCGAATTTAGGTTTGGCCAATGTAAAGAAAAGAAGAAATGGAGACATGATAGCAGTGTTTCAGTATCTGAGGGGCTGCCCCAAAGAAGAGGGGGCCAGGTTGTTCACCAGAGCACCAGAGGGAAGGATGAGAAACAATGGTTGGAAACTGATCAAGAAGAGAAGCAATCTGGAATTAAGGAGAAACTTCCTGACAGTGAGGACGATTAACCAGTGGAACTGCTTGTCTCCAGAAATCGTGGGCGCTCCATCACTGGAGGTTTTTAAGAAGAGACTGGACAATCACCTGTCTGAGATGGGATAGGTCCTCCTGCTTGAGCAGGGGGCTGGACTAGAAGACCTCCAAGGTCCCTTCCAGCTTCTATTCTATTTTAAAATGGCTAGTATATACTATTATGTAAAAATCAAACATTGAGGTTTCATGTTATTATCTTCTACTGCATCAAAAAGAGTCAGAAGTCAATGCTTTTTTTTTTCCTTTTCCCCCTCTGCCTACAATTTTCTCTCTTCCCCTTTTCCTCCCCTATTTTACCTTCATTTTTCTTTAAATTTAGTATTTTATGCTTTGCTGAAATTAATAAAAAACATTTTGAATCTCAAAGTTCCTTGGTAAAGGGCCAGCGCTGACTGAATTGTTCTGCCACTGTGTGAATATCTGTTTTTCTCTAATCTGAAAGCATTTCCAGTAACCAGTCTTTCCACTCTCTCTCTCTCTCTCTTTTTTGTTTTTACCTGTAGAAATCCTTGCCACTCTGAAAGGCCACTCTGGCCTGGTTAAGGGGCTCACCTGGGACCCCGTTGGGAAATACATTGCCTCTCAAGCTGATGACCGAAGCTTGAAGGTCTGGCGCACGATGGATTGGCAGCTAGAAACCAGCATTACCAAACCTTTTGATGAAGTACGTACGGCGAGAACGATCTTAACCTGTTCGCGCATCGCTCCATCCATCCATCCTTCCGCAGCCAGGCTGACAAATGCTTCCCAGTCAGTTCCAAAACACCCACTTGCCTGAGATTCTTTAAAGCAGCTGCATCTTTTCCTGGAATCTCATAGTGCAATGGTGGCGAACCTATGGCACGGGTGCCAGAGGCGGCACTCCGAGCCCTCTCTGTGGGCACGCGTGCCGTCGCCCCAGTCCTAGGCCTTCAGCTGGGTTTTATAAAACCTTTTCGCTTTAGGCCTCTGCCGCCGTGTGCCCCCCCAAAAAAGGTTCAATCAATCAGTCAATTTCAACTTCTTGTGGGGAAAAAAAATGATCTTGCAAAGTTGGAATTGATTGATTGAACTTTTTAGTCCCACCCAGTCTGCCATTACCACTGCAGCCATGCCCACCCAATGGGCCACACCCACCTGGCACTCGACGATGCATGTGGGTTTTGGGTTGCAGTTTGGGCACTCAGTCTCTAAAAGGTTCACCATCACTGTCATAGTGGAAAGGCCCAGCGACTTGAAAAAGTTGCAGAGAGCAGTTAACGTTCACACTCCGCGGCCCCCTTTTTTTTTCGGGAGGGGAATCAGATACAAAGTGCCACTGTAGGAAAGGATCAGGCTGAGCGTGTGTGTGTGTGTGTGTGTGTGTGTGTGTGACAAACGCGTCATCAGTTTCAAGTCCCTTTATGCCCACAAGAGACCTCAGCCCAGCCCACCTTGAATTCCATTGACTCTTCTCTACCGCCAGTTTGATTTGACCGTTAGTAGTTCAGATTTTTGTAGAGAGCAATTAGCATGCAATAAACCTGTGTTCATTTGAACTGCCTGGACTCTTGATTCCCTGCGCTCGATGGCTACACTGTCCTGTTCCATAACACAGGCAGTCCTCGACTTACGTTTCGCTTTAGTAACCGTTCGAAGTTACAACAGCCCTGAAAATATTAGTTTTTGCACTTATGACCGGTGTAGCACCCCCATGGCCACGTGATCAAAATTTGGACGCTTGGCAACTGACTCGTATTTACGACGGTCGCAGCGTCCCTGGGGAACACATCTCCCTTTTGCGACCTTCTGACAAGCAAAATCAATGGGAGAAGCCTGCTTCTCTTAACAACTGTGTTACTAACTTAACTGCACTGATGCATTTAACAACATTGGAAAGAAAAGTTGTAAAAGGGGGCAAAATTCACTTTTAACAAGTGTCTCACTTAGCAACAGAAATTTTGGGGTCCCTTGCAGTCGTACGTCCGGGACTGCCTGTGTTATATCCACCAGATGTGTTAGGGTGATACATCCCACGGCTGCAGAACGGGTTTTCAAACCCGGCCCTGCTGGCTGAGGAATTCTGGGAGTTGAAGTCCACGAGTCATAAAAGGGCCGAGTTTTGAAGAGCCTTGCTGTAGAAAATCAGAATAGCTCTGCTTATCTTTTTCATACTTCTCCGCCTGCGTACCTTTGCAAAAAAACAACAACCCCTGACTTACTTTTGTACACGCTGTCCTCGTTCTCTTTCAGTGTGGAGGCACAACCCACGTGTTGCGCATCAGCTGGTCTCCCGACGGCCACTACCTGGTCTCGGCTCACGCCATGAATAACTCTGGGCCCACCGCCCAGATCATTGAAAGGGACGGATGGAAAACCAACATGGATTTTGTCGGGCACCGCAAAGCAGTGACCGTAGTGGTGAGTTCTTTCCCATCCCGAAAGGAGATTGCTCCAAAGTTAACTACGACAAAATGGTGGTGATAATCCTGCTGGGGGGGAGGGGGGTTCATGATTAGGGGAGCCGCCTTCCAGGGGAGATAGGCGTCACAAAAATTCAATTGACAAATCAAATTTTGATACGGGCACATTGAAGGAGAGTCAAAATACACAGAATATCAAGAGTTTAATATCAAGACAAATACGTCTGGAGCTAGGGATGCTTTGATGGTCATAAGTGGGAGGACCGGTCCTGACTCATTTTTTCCAGTGCTGTCCTGATTTCAAACAGCTGCTTAAGGCATGGGTCTTCAAACTTGGCCCTTTTATGGCTTGTGGACTTCAACTCCCAAAACTCCTCAGCCAGCGTGCCTGGCTGAGGAATTGTGGGAGTCGAAGTCCACAAATCCTAAAAGGGCCAAGTTTGAAGACCCATGCCTTAATTAAGTCGAGAACCACCTGCCAAGTATCTGCTGGTTCCTTTTCTTAAAGTACCTTTTTTAAAAATAAAAAAAACCTTGATTTATCTTCTTTCCAGAAATTCAATCCAAAAATCTTTAAAAAGAAGCAAAAGAATGGCAGCTCCACCAAACCAAGTTGTCCTTACTGCTGTTGTGCAGTTGGCAGCAAAGACCGATCTCTTTCTGTCTGGGTAAGTAACAGGTCTGGTCAGATTTAAGGGGTTAGGTCAGGGGTGGGGAACCTTGGCTCTTTTAAGACTCGTGGACTTCAACTCCCAGAATTCCTGAGCCAGCATGGCTCAGCTTGGAAACCTCTCCCTTTCCCCTGAGCGTGGCTGGCTCAGGAATTCTGGGAGTTGAAGTCCACCAGTCATCAAAGAGCCAAGGTTGCCTACTCCTATCCTAGGACGAAGATTAAGAGCAGGGGTCTTCAAACTTGGCCCTTTGATGACTGGTGGACTTCAACTCCCAGAATTCCTGAGCCAGCGTGGCTCAACTTGGAAACCTCTCCCTTTCCCCTCAGCATGGCTGGCTCAGGAATTCTGGGAGTTGAAGTCCACCAGTCATCAAAGAGCCAAGGTTCCCCGCCCCTGGGGTAGATTGTCTTTTTTGCATGTCTATTTTTGCAAAATCAAATCAAAATCTTTGTGCCTTTCTTGGGATGACATTTTTAGGTGAGGGATGTCCAACCTTGGCAACTTTTAAAACTTGCAGACTTCAACTCCCAGCATGGCTGGCTGGAGAATTCTGGGAGCTGAAGTCCGCAAGTCTTAAAAGTTGCCGAGGTCGGACACCCCAGTTTTAGTCTTCTTCAGATTCAGATCCTGCTTTGCTTTGAAACTGACCTCAGACTAAGCCAGGTTCCATGTCTTTCGAAGGATTGGGTTTTTTTAAAAGGCCCACCTTGTGAGTTCTCCATCCCTTCCCCTTTAAACATGCAGGAGAGAATGTGGGGGTGCTTGTGGGTCACTCCCATCTTTTAAAAAAGGCAATCAAATGGCCACTCAAAGCATTTTGCCTTCGTGGCTCAGAATGCTGTAATTTCTACTAGATCATAAGAGTGATATTCCCTCCTCCTCCAGATTCAAACATGGGGAGTTTGGGGTCCTGATGTTTTTCTGAAATTCAGATTTTGCTGAATAACAGCAATTCCCAGCAGCCCTTGGTTTTTCCATACCATTGGGAGCTGCTTGGAATTGTACTGTTGTCCTCCAGTTCCGACTGTTACGTCCATTACGGTTGTCGCAGTTATAAAAGGGTTAGGTGACCAACCTGATTTTATGAAATATTTTGGGGCAGTCATTAAGCAGCCTAAGTGCAAACGCCCCAGTTGTTTACTGTAGCAACATTTTGAGAGTTTGCCGATGGGCATAAATCAGCAAATGGACATAAATCGAGGATTTGAAGGCTGCAAGTTCCCACCAATTTGCTTAAATTTTCCACTCTTAGTTACTCTTGTAGCACAGATGAACGCATGCTCATTTAAGTACATCGTTAAGTCTCAGGACGTGAGACTCCTTTTGTAATACTCATACTCCTGTCATTTTGTTTTTAGCTGACGTGTCTGAAAAGGCCTTTGGTTGTCATACATGAGCTATTTGACAAGTCCATCATGGATATTTCATGGTAAGATAGCTTTCACAGGCACTTGCCTTCAGAAGTTGTGGGTGCTCCATCACTGGAGCCTTTGAGGAACAGATTGGACAACCGTTTGTCTGAAGTGGTATAGGGCAAGGGTCTTCCAACTTGGCCCTGTGATGACTTGTGGACTTCAACTCCCAGAATTCTTCAGCTGGGCATTTTGATGAAACTGGGGGCTTGGATCCAGACCAGGGGTCTTTAAACTTGGCCCTTTGATGACTTGTGGACTTCAACTCCCAGAATTCCTCAGCCAGGCATGCTCGGCTGTGGAATTCTGGGAGTTGAAGTCCACAAGCAGGGGTCTTCCAACTTGGCCCTTTGATGACTTGTGGACTTCAACTCCCAGAATTCCTCAGCTGGGCATTTTGATGAAACTGCGGGCTTGGATCCAGACCAGGGGTCTTCCAACTTGGCCCTTTGATGACTTGTGGACTTCCAACTCCCAGAATTCCTCAGCCAGGCACACTGGCTGAGGAATTCTGGGAGCTGAAGTCCACAAGTCATCAAAGGGCCAAGTTGGAAGATCCCTGGTATAGGGTTTCCCGCTTGAGCAGGGGGTTGGATTAGAAGACCTCCAAGGTCCCTTCCAACTCTTGTCATTTTGTCATCATCCTACCGTAGAAGCTTCTTCAGTTCGCTTCACTTCTGCAGTCCAGAACCGAAGAAGCTTCTTGGATGAGAAGCGAAACGTCTTCAAGGAAAAACAAAGAAAGCCCAGTTGCGTTTTTTTTGGGGGGGGAGGGGAAAGCACCTTTGGGAACCTGGATGACTGAGAATCTCCATAGACTTTTTGTTTCTTCTCCTTCAGGACTCTGAACGGCCTCGGCATTTTAGTGTGTTCCATGGACGGGTCCGTGGCCTTTCTGGATTTTTCCCAAGACGAGCTTGGCGACCCCTTGAGCGAAGAAGAGAAGGTGCCCGTGGTTTTGGTTTAGCTGAGCATTCTAACCTTTCAAATTCCTTCTATTTTAAATAATAATAATAATAATAATAATAATACCAGACTGCCTAGAGCAGGGATCCCCAACCTTTGGGGCACCAGGGACCGGTTCCGTGGAGTAGAGGTTTTTCCACGGACCGGAGGGTGCGTGGTTTTGTGTGCTGCCTGCATCCTGCAGATGGGGCTTTGCTTGTTTGTGCGGACCGGTTGCTGGCATGCCACGACCCGGAACCGGTCCACGGATCGAGGGTTGGGGACCCCTGGACTAGGAGATCTGATCCAGAGGACGCCACTTACGTTCTGATGTTCTCCCCCCTTTCAGAGCAACATCCACCAGTCTACCTATGGGAAAAGTTTAGCGATAATGACGGAGGCCCATCTCTCGACGGCTATTATTGAGAATCCGGAGATGCTCAAGTACCAGCAAAGGCAGCAGCAAATGGAGAAGAAGAACGAGGCCCTCCGAGACGGAATTGGTCTGGGAGTAGCAGTCACAGCTCCTAAGTTGGCCAGCATGGTGAATGGAGAAAGCTTAGAAGACATTAGAAAGGTAGTTTTTTTTTTCCTGTGCCCCGTTTCATTCCTTTGGTCCTTCTTTATAATAAACTCGTAAACTCAAATATCCGTATCATGATGTAGCCGTGGAAGATCTGATGCCTCTTTGATAGAAGATAGCCTTCCTTCTTTCCTTCCTTCCTTCCTTCCTTCCTTCCTTCCTTCCTTCCTTCCTTCCTTCCTTCCTTCCTTCCTTCCTTCCTTCCTGCCTGCCTACCTACCTACCTACCTACCTACCTTCCCTTCCTTTTCCTTCTTTCCTACCTTCCTATCTCCCTTCCTCTCTCTCATTTCTTTCCTTCTCTCTATTCAGGTATATGTTTCTTCCTTCTTCCCTCCCTCCCTCTCTATCCCTCTTCCAATCGCCTTTCTGTCTTCTCTTTACTCCTCTCTTTAGAGGAATATCTTCCTTCCTATTTTGTGCCTAGGGAACACAAGGCTGAGGCAGCCCATTGTTAACAGACGAAGCAAAACTGCCCTTAAAAGTAGATTTCTCGATTAACGCCCTTTAAATATGTCATGGGGAGTAAAACAAAAACAAAAACAATGGCCAAAAGGAAAAAAGGGAGCTTTCATATCAACCTAAGAGATATTTTGATATATCTATTTAATATTGCTTGATCCACCCCGTTTATATGGCCACCAACCTGAACAAGGGATACTGGGAGGCTGGGGCTTGGTCAAACTTCGTCGCGACTAAAAACCCAAAATCTTAGTCATCCTATTTCTTCCTGGCAGAACCTGTTAAAGAAACAAGTTGAGACGCGGACAGCCGATGGCCGGCGAAGGATCACACCGCTCTGCATAGCTCAGCTGGACACAGGGTACTGTTTTCAAAATATTTTGGACTTTTGTCTTGTTTTGTTCCCAAAGTAGCCGTGGACAAAAATGCTTCCACTCTCTCAGCGCTAGGAAGAAGCAGGCCTGACCAAACCACTTTAAAAAGGACCTCACCCCCTCCAGCTAGGACTGTAATTCCAAATATCACTTCTCCTTTTTTTTTAAAAAAAATCACAGTGTGATTCATAAGTCCTCAACTTGCGACCAGAATTGGGAGCGGAAGCTCTGTGGCTAAGCGAGACAGTTGTTCAGCGCATTGTGCCCAGTCGTACGATCTTTTTCCGGTTAGGCAGATCACCGCGGTCATAAAGCGAAGCGTGCTGTTGTTTAGCAAATCCGCCACTCTTGTGAACTGAATCCTCCTGATTTCGTAACGTAGTCATTAAGCGAACCCCCGGCTTCCCCGTGGATTTTGCTCGTCCGAAGCCAAACTGGGAAGGTCACCTATTGGCGATCATGTCACCCCCCCCCCCGGGATGCGGCCCCTGTCGTAAATGCATACCGGTTTCCCAAATATTTAAACGTTGATCATGCGACCTGGGGACGCTGCGGCGGTAGTTAGCGTGAGGCCTGGTCATAAAGTCACGGTTTCCTGTCGTTTTCTGTTCAGTCCTTGAACAAAAGCTTGTAAGTTGAAGATGACCTAGACAGGACCTATTTAAAACATTGGTCCTGATCGGTCCGGTGGGGATAACACACCCCCATTTACCCCTGACGGCCTTTCTTTTTCCAACAGGGATTTTTCGACCGCCCTCTTTAACAGCATCCCACTCTCTGGGTCCTTAGCCGGGTCCATGATGTCAGCTTCCCAGACCAATCAGCTCATAGCGTTAGATTACAACACGGCCAACTCCCTGGGCACCGCTAAGCCTGCCTTAGAGCCCATGGCAGCGGCCGCTAAATCGGCGGAAGACGTAGCCAACAAGGATGGGTGAGCATCAAAAGAAAGGCCTTCTCCTTCTGACCTGGGTGAACTTAGGACCCATTCACTGAAGCATGGGTTGGCGTAGTGAGGGGGACGTCCCAAAGATGCTTTTTCAGAAGAGGCAACTGGACTTTCTTGTTTTTCTTTGAAGATGTTTCTCTTCTCATCCCAGAAGCTTCTTCAGCTCTGACCGGATGGTGGGGGAATGGAAGGATTTATACTCCTTGCAGACAGCTGGTCATTTGCATCCTTTTAGAGAGTCGTTGAAGCCACCTGGAGGTTTGTCTGTGTCCTCAGGGTCACCTGAGTGGCGCAAATGGGTGTGGAGTCTTTTTGGAACTGCTTTCAGCACACCCATTTCACTACTCAGGTGACCTTGAGGACACAGGTAAACCTCCAAGTGGCTTCAACGACTCTCTAAAAGGATGCAAATGACCAGCTGTCTGCAAGGAGTATAAATCCTTCCCTTCCCCACCATCCAGTCAGCGCTGAAGAAGCTTCTGGGATGAAAAGCGAAACATCTTCAAAGAAAAACAAGAAAGTCTAGTTACCTCTTGAAAAAAGCACCTTTGGGACAACCACGACCTGGACGATGGAGAATCTCGATAGACATTTAGTGAGGTGAAAGCTCTACCTGTGATGGCCTTCATTTTCAGAGACCTTACACTTACGTATTTATTTTTCACATCTTTGAACCATCGATCTCCCTCAAAAGATTTGAGATTCTGGGCGGTGAACATTAAAATACGAAAACGATATATAACTATTAATTTATTTTATTTATTTATTTTTAAAAAAGGCAAGCACTGTTAAAATTAGCTAACTACCTCCAGGATTGCATGTTCCTCTGGACTCCCCACGCAAGGCCACAGAGCCATGTTTTGATTCCTTTTCAGGAGGCCAGGAGTGGGGGGGGGCTGCCTCACCTCTGGGGGGGAGAATATTCCACAGGGAGGGGGCAACAGCAGAGAAGGCACTCCACCCATCAAAGTTCTTTAACTGACGGCATCTACAGGATGCCTGCCCTGCCTAATCCGGTGGGACGGGCCGATGTAATGGGCTGAAGTCCGTCCCATTGGTAGAGTGGTCCCACGCTGGGGGGTTTAGGACAATTCGCTGCAGCCCACTCGCTACGGCCAATTTACCACTACCCAACTCGCCACAGCCCATTCACCACTACACAACTCCACCACGACAACTTGCCGCAGGAGTTGCGCTAACATCGAAGAAACGGTATAAAACCATTAAAGAAAGGATGCGATAAGGAGGGACCAAACGAAATGCGAGTGACCAAAATTAAAATCTGGCTCAATTATTGGAAAGAATTAAAATTGAATTGTTCCACAGCTGGTTGTCCTGTGGCAAGTAGGCAGTAGTGAGTTGGCCGTGGCGCATTGTCCCATCCCGGTTTCCTTGCTCCTACCTACCTAGATATGCAAGTGGAAACTTCCCAGTTAGGTCAGGTTCCATTTCCGAAGGACGTGGAGACGGCTCGCCTGGGTGCTTCTCTCTCAGGCGTCCCCAATGTTTCATGTCATGGATGCCAAGCAAGCCCACCCCTTTGTGTGATCTGGATTTGTCCCGGTCCTGGATACTTCTCAAGCCTGGCAACTTGAAGATGTGCGGACTTCAACTCCCAGAAGTCTGGCTGGGGCATTCTGGGAGTTGAAGTCCACAGATCTTCAAGCTGCTAACGTTGAGAACGACTGCTTTAGAAAGTGAGCCCTTGCCCCAATTCGACAGGGTAGGGGTTAGAAACCATAACTGTTCGTGATGCTGTTTCTTGCCGATTGTGAGCAGAGCGGACCCCTGCCAGATACGTGGGGGAGCTTCAAATGGGTTTATTTTATTTTTGCTTTCTCTTTTCCCAGTGCGAACGCTACCTCGGCTTCAGCTGCTCTCCCAGCCTCTTCGCCCTCGGTGCTGTCCACCTCTTCTAAGATTGAGCCCATGAAGGCTTTTGATTCTCGGTTTACAGAGCGATCCAAAGCCACCTCAGGGACTTCCCCCGTCTCGCACGCCAATCAGGTTTCCTTGGACAGGTGAGGCGCAGAACCGGAAAAGAACCATTTCAGCCGAACCGGAAAAGAACCATTTCAGCCGGACACCGTATTTTAAGCAAAGGAGACAGCACCGCGCTGATCTTCTCTGTTTTTCTGAGAGATGCGCTCCAAAGGAGAGCTGGCTTAGGGGGAATATAAGGTCGACAGGGCTTCTGGCGTTGCACTTCACAAATTTAAATGTCCACTAGATGGCAGCAAGGAGACCCAGAAACTCTCGTTCTTTGGCGCCCTCTCGTGGTCAGCCAAATATTGACAATCTCGATCCGAAACCCTACTTTATTTGTCTCTTGGCTTTGTCATTTTTAGAACTAACTCAAGACTACAGACATGTCCAATACCCCTGCTTCCTCCTATTTTCTCCACAACAGCCCTGTAAGGAGCATTGGGCTGAGAGTGACTGGCCCAAAGTCACGAAACCCAGCCAGCTTTCATGCTTAAGGTGGAACTAGAACTCAGAATCTCCCGCCAGGAGTCTTCAAACTCAGCCCTTTTATGACACGCTGGCTGAGGAATTCTGGGAGTTGAAGTCCACCAGTCGTAAAAGGGCCAAGTTTTTTCTGCCATTTTCTCGCCCGGTTCCTTAAAAACTGGGTCAAACTTGTTTTGTTTTTTGTTTTTTGTTTTCCTTTTTCTGCAGACTGAAGGAGCAGAACTCCGTTCGGGAAAGCAAACCCAGGGATCTCCTAGAGAGTAGCAGCGATAGCGAAGAAAAACTCGCCGTCAAACCCTTGTCGCTCTCCAAGCGAAAGCTGGACCTTGACGTTGAAAAGAAGAAGAAGGGAAGACCTCGGAAAGACTCCCGGCTGATGCCTGTCACTTTAACCGTTCAGGTAACCGAAGGCGGTTGTCATCTCTCTCCGATACACGACGACAGATCCCCCCCCCCTTTTTTTTAAATCCATTTTAGAAACCAGACTGTACGTTCTTAATCTAGCTGCAGGCAAATTAAGCAAATCATCCTGGTTTATTGCATAGTAGCACGGAGGATGTTAGCTAGGGGAGTCATGAAACATTTGCAAGAAGACAGCCAAGCTCAGAGAGCACCATAGTTCAATCCTAAGGTGCAAATATTCTCTCCTATTGGCGTGCTGGCGCCTGGTGGCGCAGCAGTTCGAATGCAGTATTGCAGGCAAACTCTGCCCACGGCCTGGAATTCGATCCTAATTGGGCTCAAAATGGACTCAGCCGTCCATCCTTCCGAGGTCGGTAAATTGAGGACCCAGATTGTTGGGGCCAGTCTGCTGGCATTGTAAACTGCTCAGAGCGTGCTGTAAAGTAGAGGTCCCCAATCTTTTGGGCACTAGGGACCGGTTCCATGGAGAGAGGTTTTCCCGCAGACTGGAGGGGGCGTGGTTTCGTGTGCTGCCTACATCCCACAGATGGGGCTTTGTTTGTTTGCGCAGACCGGTTGCTGGCATGCTGTGGCCCAGTACCGGTCCACAGACCGGGGATTGGGGACCCCTGCTGTAAAGCACGGCGGGGCAGTGTATAAGCCTAGGTGCTATCGCTAGCTATCGCTATTGAAAACAAACAGTGGTCTCTCTCTATATATATCTACTTGATTTAATCGATTCCACTCTGATTTTTCTCACCAAACACACGTGCGCTTCAGCCTGGTTGGGTTATTTCAAACCCAGCTCAGATGCACCATGCAGAGTTCTTCTGAAGACCAGCTAGATCAGCGCCCCCACCCCCCACCCCCAACCTTTTGAACACCAGGGACCGGTTCCGTGGAGAGAGGTTTTTTCCACGGACCGGAGGGTGCGTGGTTTTGTGTGCTGCCTACATCCCACGGATGGGGCTTTGCTTGTTTGCGTGGACCGGTTGCTGGCATGCCGCGGCCCGGTACCGGTCCACGGACCGGGGATTGGGGACCCCTGAGCTAGATTGCTTAATTTAATCAGCCAGCAGAATTTGTGGCAGAGTGGAGTTGAGAGTGGCCTCCTTCTTAACATGCTTTGTTTTGTCTCCCAGTCTCCAGCTATATTAGCATCCGAGAAGGATGGTGTGTGCCACAGTACACCCTTAGCACTTAAACTGCCGACCCCGGTCCTACAGAAGTCATTTGCTTTACAGGTAAGAGGTGGATTGTATTTGTTATTAGGTTCTTGTCCTGCCCTTTTTCTACCTGTCTAACCTAGAATCATACGCAGGGCCTCCAAATCTATCTAAATATCTATCTAAATATCTATATTTCTTCTTAGCTACTCTATCTAGTTCAGCTTTATCTATCTATCTTTATCTCTATCTCTATCTCTCTATTATCTATCTACCTATTTATCTACCTACCTCTATCTCTATCTATCTATCTATCTATCTATCTATCTATCTATCTATCTATCTATCTATCTATCTATCTATCATCTATCTATCTATCTATCTATCTTTTTAGCTACTCTATCTAGTTCAGCTTTTCTCTCTCTCTCTCTCTCTCTCTCTCTCTCTCTCTCTCTCTCTTTCTTTCTTTCTTTCTTTCTTTCTTTCTTTCTTTCTTCTGTCGGTCTGTCTATCTTGAGGAGAGGAACGTACCAGCACCTGCGCTTTTAACTACCACCCAGATCAGGTTCTTCACAAACTTCCAGGTTTCTCCGCTGGCTTGAACTGGGACTGCTCAGGGCTTCAGATGAAACCTCTCTTGCAGGTGAGCTCTGATCCCTCGATGTATATCGAAGTGGAAAACGAGATCACGACCGTGGGAGGGTCCAAACTCAGCAGACTGAAATGCAACCGAGAAGGGAAAGAGTGGGAGACGTTGCTCACCAGCCGAATTCTCTCCGCGGCGGGAAGCTGGTAAGCGTGGGGGTCTGGGCACGCGCAGTGAAGAGAGAACGTGCTAAAAACTTGGTGCATTGGATTAAAAAGTGACCTTTCCCAAGGTGAGGCCTCTGTGTTGATCTGAGACTCCCAATCCACACAATCCTAATATTTGGGGATCAACCATCTCCCTTTTAGGCCTGTCTCGCTCGCCCCTGTAAGCAAGGGATCCAGAATCATCCTTGCAAAGATTTTTCTATCCTGGATCCTTTTGAAGCTGGTTGGGTTTGTTCATGTGCCTGGTTTAACTTTAATGTTGATTTTTTTATTTTGGTTTTGTTACTGTTTCGTAGGCTAATCGGCTTTGCTGGAAAGGTTGAGGAATTGTGCCTTTTTCTTTTTAGGTTTTTTTTTTTTAAATCCCATCTTTATTATTTTTATAAAAAACATAAGATGGTGAAAACACCTAATATTCCCTCCTGCTTCTATTTTCCCAACCACAACAATCCCATAAGGTGGGTTGGGCTGAGGGTGAGAGGGACTGGCCCAAGGTCACTTCGCTGCCTTTCATCCCTGAGGACTCACAGTCTCCTAATCATTGGCTGAAAGTTCCCCAGCCAGCTTTCATGCCTAAGGTGGAACTAGAACTCCCAGTCTCCTGGTGATTGGTCCAAAGTTATCCAGCCGTTTTCATGCCTTAAGGCGGGACTAGAACTCACCGTCTCCGGATGATTGGCCCAAAGTCACCCAGTTGGCTTTCATGCCTAAGGCGGGACTAGAACTCACTGTCTACTGGTGATTGGCCCAAAGTCACCCAGTTGGCTTTCATGCCTAAGGCGGGACTAGAACTCACTGTCTCCTGGTGATTGGTCCAAAGTCACCCAGTTGGCTTTCATGCCTAAGGCGGGACTAGAACTCACTGTCTCCTGGTGATTGGCCCAAAGTCACCCAGTTGGCTTTCATGCCTAAGATGAAACTAGAACTCCCAGTCTCCTGGTGATCGGTCCAAAGTCACTCAGCCAGTTTTCACGCCTAAGGCAGGACTAGAACTCACCATCTCCGGATGATTGGCAGAAAGACCTTCAGCTGGCTTTCACACCTAGAGTGGGACTAGAACTCCCGTCTCCCTCTTTCTAGCCTGATGCCTTCACCATGAGTCCAACGGACCCAATGTATTTCTCTTGTGCTTTTTTCCCCCCCCAGCGAGGTGGTGAGTGTGGCTTGTGAAAAGCGGACCCTCTCCGTGTTTTCGGCATGTGGCCGTCGCCTCCTCCCTCCCATCGTCCTGCATTCCCCCATCTCCACGTTGCACTGTACAGGGTTTTACATCATGGCTCTCACCACAGCAGCAACCCTATCGGTCTGGTAAGCAGTGAACCTCTCTTTCCCTCCCCGACAGTCTTTTCCCTTTGCAAAGACGCGTCACGTGGAACGGAATGACCTTTTTGTTCTCCCACATCTTTTCCCCCTTGCTTAGGAACGTGAGGAAGCAGACAGTGGTGGTGAAAGACGAGTCCCTACAAACCATTTTAGCAGGTAATGGCAGTCAAGTCACCCGGGCCCATCGGATTCCTCTTTACAGATCGCCCTGGACTTAACGTCCCTTCGTTTCGCGACTCTTTCCAAGTTTTCACGGTGCAAAAAAGTGGCCCTTGCACTTACGACTCTCACAGCATCCCCGTGCTCTCACACAGTCAAATTTGGGGCGCTTGGCAACCGACAGGCGTTTACGACAGTTGCGGGTCCCAGAGCGATGCGATTCGCTGAATTGCTGCACGACTCGTTTAACAACCGCAGTAAATTTGCTTAATAACTGTGGCCCAAGAGGTCATTAAATCGGGCTGACTTACTTATCATCACCTCTTCCTTGGCAGCAGAAATTCTAGTCCCTGCAGTTGTTAAGTTAACAATACAGTCATTAAGCAAATCTGACTTAAGTGAGTGGTTGTCGGGCATTAGCTGGAATGTTGACAAGTGATAATCACATTGTTCTGTCCCAGCCTATGTGAGTCCTTGTTATACTCACAAGGAGAAACCCCTCTTCCAACAAGCAGGCTGGAACCTCAGGAAACAACCAATCCCCTTTTATTATTCACAGACCTGAGTCAATGTCCAAGGCAAACAAACACAGTTCACAGAAACTCGATTCCTTAACACAAACGGTTGCCTTCAGCAACCAGCACCTCCCACACCTTCCCTTTTATTATGCAGCCAAGATGTGGCTTCCTAATGCCTTCTCCTTTGTCTTTGGAGCCGCCCCATTGCATTCCTCTGTCCTACTCGCTTCTCTTGCTTGCACATTCATGCATCCGGGATCTGTCCCAGCTGTTCTTCATCACTGTCCAACTCAGACTCCCAGCACAGTTGTGTCTCAGCCTGAGCACGAGTAGAGGGGCCAGGCTCCTCGTCAGACTGTAAGTCTTGGAGCTCTTTAGAGCCTTCCTCTGACTCTGATGTCACTCCAGGCCCCTCCTCTTCCTCCTCCTCCTCATTCCCCAGACTCAGCTGCCGGGTCCACTGGCTGGCGAGGAATCACAACACACATGATTGAAGTTGTAAGTCTGAGGACCACATGTAGGTCACTTTTTTTTTTCCAGTGCCGCTGTTAACTCCCAACGGTCACTAAATGAACAGCTGTAAGTCAAGGACTACCTGTCCTTCCCCTGTCAGCTGATGAGTCCCCTCCCACGTTTCTGCTCCCAAGAAAACTGATGGGTACGTTTGACCTTTGCAGGAAGTGAAACCACCGTCTCTCAAATCTTGCTGACTCAGCATGGCATCCCCCTGATGAATATGTCGGACGGAAAAGCATATTGCTTTAATCCTTCTCTGTCTTCCTGGTAAGTCTCAGAGTGGGAGATATAAGGAAGGCGATTCTTTAAATGCTAAGCAGGATAGATCTGCAGCTAATACTTTCTGGAACAAACTATAAGTAAATACGACAATAAGATGTGGTTTTATTTTGCTCCATTCCTGTCCTGGGCGAAAGATAAGGTCCACCCATGAACTTCCAATTCAACTGATTTATTGCTACTCATGTCTGTGCCCAGGAATCTTCCCGACTCATGCTTAGCACTAGAATGGAGTTAGATAAGAATTCAAGGGGAATTGGACTCGAACTAATTGTGGCTACGTAGGGATTCTAGGCTGGCGCCTCTCTTGACCCCACCACCCTCAGGTTCTGCCACTCCTTGTCCTACAGTTTCTTGGGCTTGCTGTCAATTACAAGAATACAGGCTTTGTTTGTTTGTTTGTTTTAAAACTGGAAACCTATTTTGCAGTTGGCCAGCCCGTTTAAGTGGAAGTCTGGCTTTGCACGGCGGGATGAATCTTAAACGGGAATCCAGGTTGGGCTGGATGGGAAACGAAATGGGTTAAATTTCCAACTTGCAAGTGTTTAATTTTGCGAGAAGGCTTGCCCTCCCCCAACTTGGTTAACTGGGACATGTTCTCTCTTTCCAGGAACCTTGTCTCTGACAAGCAGGAAATGTTGGCACAGTGCGCAGACTTCAGGAGCAGTCTACCATCCCAGGAGGCCATGCTGTGTTCGGGACCTTTAGCCATCATCCAAGGACGAATGTCTAAGTACGACCTTGTCTTGTCTCACTCAACCTCTCCGCCTTTAGCCACCGGGCCATCAGAACGGGCCAAGCTCTTGACCACCAAAAGCTTGGTGACCCCTGCTTTGAACTCTGAACACAGCAGCCCCTGTTGGAACTGTGCAGACTTCCCCCCAAAAGCTCCTTCATAGTTTTCCCGTCAAAGGCAGGGGAAATCAGGAGAGTCATACAGTTCAAATGAGTACAGATAGTCCTCGACTTACGACAGTTCGTTTAGCGTCCGTTCAAACTTACAACAATGCTGAAAAAAGTGACTTTAGGACCATTTTTCACACTTAACAACGGTTGCGGCCTCCCCCTGGTCACATGATCCAAATTCAAAAGGCTTGGCCACCGATTCATATTTATGATGGTCGCCGTGTCCCGAGGACACGTGATTTCCCCCCTTGCAACCTTCTGACAAGCAAAGTCAACGGGGAAGCCAGGTTCACGTAACAACCGTTGTGACTTGCTTAACAATTGCTACGGTTCGCTTAGCAAACAGTGGCAAGGAAAGTCGTAAAATGGGGCAAAACTCACGTCACAGATGCTTCACTAGATTTGGGGCTTGATTGTGGTCGTTAAGTCAAGGACTATTTTTATAAAGGTTTATTGCAAGCTTAAGAATCTGGCCAACTAACACTCAAGGGAAATGAGTGGGAGATAAGAAAGGCATTCAAGGTGGGCTGGATTTAAATCTCTTGTGGGCACGCCGAGACTCGTGACTGATGACGCCTTTGACCACCCCTCCCTTGGGCTTGGCCTGGTCATCTCCTACACCTCCTTCTACTCTCAGCTCCTAAAAGCTGCCTCCTCTTTGCTCCTTCCCACAGCTCTGGGCGACAGGCAGCCAAATTGTTCTCCATGCCTCATTTGGTGCAGCAAGAAACTACCACGGCGTACCTGGAGAATCAGGTGGCCTCTGCCCTGGCTTTACAGTCAAGCCACGAATATCGTCACTGGCTGCTTATCTATGCACGGTACCTGGTTAAGGAAGGTAAGGAGCGATGCACTGGTGTGACGGTGTCAAAAGGTCTCGTCGCAGGACGTTCGCTGTCCCGATCAAAGCTGCCTTTTGCAATTGACCGATGGGGATGTTGTCAACGCCGACGGGGTTCAAGTGGTGCTCCAGATGTTTGGGGATTCTTATTAGTATGGTTGTCTATACAGAGATGTTCAGACTGGATTTGGCATTTTTATCGAAGCCTTGGGTCCTCCTATAGGCAGATGTTTTTAATAATGTCAGAGATGCCGTCACAGGATGTGAGCTGTTCCAAGTAAAGTGGCCTTCGGCAATTGACCGACGGAGATGTTGTTAATGCCAATGTTACGGTTTGTCACACAGTCATCCAGATGTTTTAGACTGGATTTGGCATTTTTGTCCACCTTTTTGAGTCCTTCCTAAGGATCTGGGATAGGCAAATGTTTGATAATATCCTTGCAGGATGTCCACTGTTCCAAGTCAAGCTGCCTTTTGCTATTGACTGATGGGATTCTTGTCAATGCGGATGGGGTTGATACGGTGTTCCAGATGTTGGGGGATTCTTACGATTACGGTTTGTTGCACAGTCAGCCAGATGCTTGGACTGGATTTGACATTTTTACCCACCAGCTACTGAGACCTTTCAGAGGATAGGCCGGTATTGTTGTTTGATTGGTATCGTTGCAGAATGTCAGCAGTTCCAAGCAAAGCTGCCTTTTGCAATTGGCCGATGGGGACGTTGTCAATGCCGACGATATTCAAACGGTGCTCCAGACATTTGGAGATTGTACCCCAGGCACCTGTTGTTACTAAATTAGTTGGAGGAGAATATGGCCCTGTTTGTGACTCTTCTTTTCTTACCGTCTTCCAGGCTTTGAATATCGCTTGAGGGAATTATGCAAGGATTTGTTAGGCCCTGTCCATTCTTCCTCTGGAAGTCAGTGGGAATCGACCGTCGTGGTAAGCATTGATTGTGGGGTTTTTTTTGGGGGGCACACATAAAATTATATTTCCCCCCCTCCCTCCCTAGCTCAGCTGCGGAACGGTTCGGCTTGAACGCCGGCCATCTTCCAGCGTTCACTTTTCCCGCCACATCCAGGAGGGAATGTATGGCATGCAAATAATCCTCGACTTACCATCACAATTAAGCAACCTTCCTGTTGCTAATTGAGATGTCTTAAGTGCTTTTTTTTTGCCCTGTTTTACGACCTTTCTGGCCACCGTTGCTAAGTGGATCGCTGCAGGGGTTAAAATTATAATACGATTGTTAAGTGAGTCTGGCTTCTCCCCCCCCCATTGGCTTTGCTTGTCATAAGGTCGCAGAAGGGGATAATAATAATAATAATAATAATAATAATAATAATAATAATAATAATAATAATAATAATAATATTGGAAGGGACCTTGGAGGTCATCTAGTCCAACCCCCTGGACGTGACCCCGGGACACCGCGGCCGTCCTAAATATGAGTCCGTCGCCCAGCAGCTTAATTTTGATCACGTGACCCTGGGGATGCGGCAATGGCTGTAAGTGTGAAAAGGGGGTCCTAGGTCGCTTTTTTCAGCGCCTTGAAACGGTCTCTGAACGAACTGTTGTAAGTCGAGGACTACCTGTATGGTTCAATGCCTTGTGAATAGTAGAACCGCTTCTACTCTAGAAGCTTTCCTCCGGAGCCTCTTTCTACAGAAATAAGGTTCAAGCGGAGATTTTGCGCCCTCTGCTCGGTCTTTGGGGCCGTTTCCATGCCAGACAAGTGACAGGAAACAGCTCAGTGCAATGGCTATCCTGCCTATGAGATGCTTATTTGTGTATACGTGTGTGTGTGTGTTTTGTGCAGGGCTTACGGAAACGGGACCTGCTCAAGGAACTGATGCCCGTCATCGGGCAGAACCTTCGCTTCCAGCGACTTTTCACAGAATACCAGGAGCAGCTGGACATTTTGAAAGACAAGTAGCCCCCCCTCCGAGACGTTTCTCCAGCCGATAGGAGAGCAAGGAAGAAACAAGAGGGTCCGTTGGCAGAAGCTAACCCTGCTGAAAAACGCGGGGCAGGAGCCAAATCTGGGGGTCTTTTTAACCAGCCTAAAATGTTGTCGTTTTGAAAAGAAGATCGCAAGAGGAAAAGCGTGACAAGCTGGGGAAGTGACAGGACGCGTTCCTTGGTTTTTCTCCTGGGAGTTGAGCATCGCAGCTTACCGCTGTCGGGGCGTGAGAACGGTCTTCAAAGGGGACGGTTGGACTCCAGATCCGATGTACCAGATATCAGAAAGACACGGTTTTGTGAGCCTTTTGAATATCCTTTGAAAAGCACATTACAAGAAGCTAAACTGAATGTCATACAGGCCCTCATTACTTTACTGAGGACTTTACTGAGGATTTAATCTATTGGGGTGATGGAAGGAGGAGCCCCCCCCCCAAACAGGAGATCCTAAAAACTCCTCCAGAATTATGCAGCCCACAAACTCTTCAATTGCGGACAACCATTAGAAACGAGAGGCTGTTTGATCACACAAGGGACTATTTTTATACTAGAATTTGCTAACTTGTAATATGAGAATTTTATTTGGCCAATAATCCCACCCTCTTCCCCCCCCCCCAAAGTCCTCTTGTTACATCAAACGTAACTTCATTCATTATGACGGCTACGTTGCTGAACAATTGTACCAAAATAAATGTCTCTCTCTCTCTCTCTCTTTTTTTTTAAAAACTATTTGTAAAAGGTATTGGCAAAACGGGAAGGGGTAGGTAAAAACGGGAAGGGATTTGGGGAGGGAAGATATTTTTTTTTGTAAGTACAATTAATAAATGAACGTTGCATTGATTTCAGAACAAACAACGAATGTCTGTGTGCTGCTTGTGGTAGCATTAAATGTACAAGCCCCCCCCCCCCCTGTAAAAAACAATTTTTTGAATTCGGCCTTCCTTGTCGATCGATAAGTCGGTTTTATTTATTTTGGCGGTGGGTCCTTGTGTATCACTGGTCCAAAGCAGTTTACAAAGCAAGGGAAATAATCTCAAATTACGCCGATGAATGACCCATGACAGAATGAAGCAACATTCATGTAAACAGCCTTCCTGATGTTACATGTCTGATGTTCTCCAGAGTGTTACATGTACTGTATAAACTTGCTGGTTTTAAGTCTTTTTTTTTTCTTCCTCATTTGCAACTGCGTATTCTGTCCTGTAATAAAGATGTGTTTTTTATTATCATTTCCAAGGAATATTAGTTGGGCATTTCCAGACAGGATTTTCAACCTAGTTTTATTAGGAGGGATTCTTCTAAAAAGCCACGTAATGTTGCTTCAGAGGGGTTGGATCAGATTTGACCGATGGAAAAAAGGACGGGGCAGACACATCTGTTTTAAAAGCTTATCTAAACATTCCAAGGAAATATATTTAAAAATGTAGTATATTATAGTCCAGATTAAGACTGGAGAGACTCAGAGCAGAGTCCTCACACAGCCATGAAATTCATGATCTATCTTGAATTGTTTCAGGGATGGAAATGCAACAGTGTCAAATGATGTTGGGTGCAGAGACACTCATGATTAGATTTTCCAAAACAGGACAAGTACTCTATGCTACGTTGGCTTATAAAATTCTCCATGGGTGTAGGTGGATGGATTAAGATTGTTTGGTGGGATATTTACTGTCATCCATTCAGACTAGAAAATGCTGGTGGCTGGTAGAGGGTGAAGTCAAAATTGGACAGGGCAGAGATTGGACTAAGTTTAATAGGTGAGATCTCTGGTTTAAAAATGCTAGGTCCTTGCATTCAAGGGGGAAACTGTCTATCTTCACTCGGTTTGGTGGAATTGGAAACATCTCATTTTAGGCAAACAACGCCCTGAACCTGATCTATATTTATTACTGGAAAAATAAAAACTAAAAATACTTCTTGAAGAGTGGCATTGCCTCCCTTTCTGCCTATAGGAATGAGTATGGAACAAGTAAGTGCCACGCTCTTAAATTAAGCTTATGAATTTGTGCATGTCTGCATTATTTTTGACAGCAATTATGAAGCGGTTGAGGCAGATGCCTTAACTTCTCAATTTAGCTTAGAGTCCCGGGCTTGTCTCAGAATTCACCAACCAGCTGAAGAAAGACCCACTTTTATTACTGGCGAAAATAAAAAATATTCTGGGGAATTCTGGGCGTTTCAAAAGTTGCCAAGGTTTGGCAATCTCTGCCATAAAGCGACCAAAGAAGAAGCGGAACCCTTAGAGGCAGCTTCTTGTTTCCTCCAGCGGGGGGATTGCTTTTCGCGCCGTACCGCGCTAAACCGGAAGCAGGGCCTCGGAGCGTCTTTCCCAGAAGTGGAGTTTTTCGGACAGACGTTGCCGTTCCTCGCCGGGTGATTTCGGACCGGAGCGGAGAAACAGACCCGCGGCAGCCATGGGGAAAAGGCAGCACCAGAAGGACAAAATGTACGCGAAGCGGCTCTGAAGGGTCGTGGGGCGCCTTGGAAGGTCTCCGGAAGTGGAGGGAGGGTGGTATCTGGGGCCAGCCTACCTGGCAGGGAGGTTGTGACGGGGAGGAAAAGGGTTCCTGGAGGGGTTTCAGTTCGGGCACTGGCTCTTCTTTATTTCTTTGCTTCCTTGGACTCTCCTGCCAAGCTGAAGGCGAGGGGGGAAGCCAACGAATCATTCACTGCGGTAGATAAATAGAAAGATAGAACGAGATAAATATGATTGATAGAGATAAATATGATTGATTGATTGATTGATTGATTGATATGATAGAGATAGATAGATAGATAGATAGATAGATAGATAGATAGATAGATAGATAGATAGATAGATATAAATATTGATAGATATGATAGATAATAGATAGAAAAGATATGATTGATATATATGATATAGATAATAGATAATAGAAAGATAAATTTGATTGATAGATATGATAGATAATAGAAAGATATGATTGATAGATATGAAAGAAATATATAGATAATAGAAAGACATAAATATGATTGATAGATATGATAGATAATAGATATGATTGGTAGATGATATAGATATGATTGATAGATATAGAGATATAGATGATTGATAGAAATAGATATGATTGTTAGATATAGCTAGAAAGAGAAATAAATATGATTGATAGATATGATAGATGTAGGTAGGTAGGTAGGTAGGTAGATAGACAGACAGACAGACAGACAGACAGACAGATAACCCTCCTAAAGCATGGCTGTTATGGTATACTTCCCATCACTCCCCTGTGTTATGTGGTGATTTGGCTCCAGTTTTCCACCCTTCCTTCCCCTGCTTGCGCGCACACCACAGACATGATGGTGATTAGTCTGCATTACTAGTTATGGCAGTTTAACTTCAGATAGCATGGTTGCCATAGTGCAAGAGGCGTGGAGTGCAGTGTTGAGGAAGACCATTCTGTCCCACACCCATCACGTTGGTTTACAGCCCAGGTAGGGTACAGCCCAGGTAGGGCACTAATCTGGCTCCATCCATTGGGTGCAAAAGGAACGGCTGGAGGGGATACGCTTCCCTCTAGCACAGTTTCTCAGATTTGGAAATTTTAAGAAATCTGAACTTCAGAGTTGAAGTGCGCACATCTTAGTGGCCAAGATTAAGAGACACAGCCCTAGCATGTCAGAAAGGACACATACAAAGACTCTGTAATTAGAATCCAATACCTCAATTCGCTTATCTGCCTTGCTTCTAAGTCTAGGTACATCTTTCTCTTTTAGGTACATCACATGTACAGAATATACCCATTTTTATGGAGGGAAGACAGTTGGTATGTAACTACACCTGTTGAATTTTTGTCTCCTTTGCATGTCTAATTTATATTTTGGGTCCCTCCTGGGGGTGGGTGGGTGGATTGAAAGCAAGATGCTATGTCCCTCATTTTATCCCAGTTGTAAGATAGGCTAAACTAAAATGGAGGTTGGCCAAAGCCACTTAATTACAACATATTTATAGGGTATTCATGTGAAGATGAATATGCAGGATGTGTGAGATATATATATATATATAGATAGATAGATATGTTTTTCTTTGAATAGAAATTCCACAGTCCAACTTCCGGCGCCTGCCTTTTGATCACTGTAGGTAAGTTTGAAAGAAATCATAAGAGTCGTAAAAATCATAAATGTTGCTTCTTTCCTTCACGCTTTTATAGGGATCTTGAAATTTGCTTTTAGTTGGAATCAGTTTATATGGGTGGGTTTGGTCATTCAACAATGTGTGTTGGCTTAACGTTACGCCAAATGGATTCACTGTGCTTTTTTTATACTAAAATGGAATTTTTTTCCTGAATCCTAGCTTATCTTTGCAACCGTTTGAATATCCAGTTTGCACACCAGATGGGACCATTTTTGATTTGCTGTAAGTTATCTTTATTCCAGTTTCTCTTACATTTGTTTTGTTGTCTTTTAACAAAAAAAAGTACTTAAATGTAGAAACCAATAATGTCCAAGCCGTTCTGACTCTGCCTGTCTTGTTTTAGGAATATTGTGCCATGGATAAAAAAATATGGAACCAATCCAATCACAGGGGAGGTAAGTAAGACCACAAATATTAAAATCTCAAAAAATGAGAGCTTGAAAAAGCAGGTGCAAAACCCCATTTGGGATATGTATAAAGTAACAAGAAACAAGTCCCAAATATGTCAGTTTTTTAGGATAAGCCAGATCAGGAAACAGATACCACAAGATCTACTGGAAATCTGTTATTGCAGAATGTAATTACAGAATCTTAAAAGCTTGGCAGAAATTCTCTCTTTTCCTCCTTATACTAAAGAGAATCAAAGTGGGGCAATCTTGAGTTTCTTCCTCACTTCTTCCTGTCTTTTGGGGCTAAGTTGGTGTTTATCTTGTGGCTGCTGTAAACTTTCTTATACAAATGCTCTGTGTATTAAACGTTTGGCCACCATTGATTCAAGAAACTGGGTAATGGAACAATAATGAGAGCAAAGGCCTGTTAGGTTTTAGAGGCTTACTCCCTCATTGTGTTTGTTGTTCTTCCAATGAATAGTGTGTGTGTGGGGGGGACCCACAGATCTGTGTGT